CCTTAAATTCAGATTGTTTTCTATCTCCACCCTGCATTTGTGTCTACAAAGCCATTGTACTGGCTGCTCTTTTATATGAGTCTGAATCATGGGTCATCTACTGCCACCACCTGCAACTCCTCGAACGCTTCCCTCAGCGCTGCCTCCATACAATCCTAAACATCAACTGGACTGACTACGTGACTGATCCTTGAACGTTACTGTCCTTGAACGTTACTACGTTACTGTCCTTGAACGGACAGGGGTCACCAGTATTGAGGCCATGCTGCTGCGGACGCAGCTGTGCTGGGCAGGGCATGTCTCCAGGATGGAGGATCACCGCCTCCCTAAGGTTGTGCTCTGTGGTGAACTCGCCACCGGCTCTGTGGGGAACTCGCCACCTGCTGCCGCAACAGAGGAGCCCCAGAGAGGAGATACAAGGACTCTCTGAAACAACACCTCAGTTTTGGCCATATTGACTGCCATTAGTGGTCCACTCTGGCCTCCAGTTCGGAGATGTGGAGACACACCATCCATAACGCTGCTGCCTCCTTTGAGAACACACGTAGAATTAGTCTCAAGGAGAAAAGACAACGCAGAAAGAACCGTGCCTCGTCAATACGACCTAAGGAGACTTTCCGCTGTGCCTTTTGCACCCAGCCTTGCCTATCCCGCATTGGCCTTTTTAGCCATCAGCGTGCTTGTAGCAAGTGTCTGTAGAGTCCTTCCCATGTCTTTGATTGCGAAGCCCAGCCATGATGATGATGTTATACATAAATTCTAGGGGTACGCAGGCTGTAACAAGGCAGGAAGGTCTTTGGTGGTGTTGGCTACTCTGCTACTAGCAACAGCAACACCGGGGAAAAAAAAAATCAGAGAATTCCTATTTGAAATCAATAGCCATGATAACCACAATGAGTTTCAAGACATTAACACTCAATGTGCTGCATTTTTCTAAATCAGCTTCATCAGACTCTCTACAGTACCATGGCTGAGTTAGAGCCGGTATGGAAACATTTGACTGAGTAATACTTGATGGAAAATGAAGATTAAGTTAACTTTATAATATTCCTAATTTTGACTGAAGGGCGCCTATGTAGTAATGCAATAATGCTGAGTATCAGCACAGTACACAGTAAGTGACACTTGGAAAGAAAATTTGGCAAAGAAAGGAGCTGAGTATTGAATACACAACTGAAAACCCCTCTAAAATAAGCTAAATATATAGACACTTCATATAACTAGCCATATGCCACTAAAAGATATCTCTGACATTGTCTTAAGGAGGAATTAATACATGTCTGTCTTTAGGCACTAAAAAGCTGATAAATCTGAATAATTAAAAAGCTACAGAAAGCAAATTGCCCTGTAGTGCAGGACCTTTCATAACATAATTGCACGAAGAGTAACATGGTCATTAAAGAAAATAAGATGCAATCCTGGGACAACCATGTTCTTCTTCTCTCCATGAATATCCAATTATGGAAAAAATAATTTTGCTATCATACAGAGATATTGGGTACTGTTATCACTGTACAACCCGCAAAGCTTCATACAGTTAAGCATAATTGTGTATGAACATTAGAAACTCTGGAGATCATTAAAACGTGCATTATTAAAGCAGCTACAATATTTTTTCAAACTTTCATATCTTGAAAAATCACAACAAATTGATCTACAATATATTACCCATCTCCATAGCAAATGTTGTTTTTAAAACTACTTTTTGTTATTTGTTAGCTCTTGTCAGAAAAGCTGAAATATTTTATAGGATAGGAATATCATACTCCTCTACCACTTTTTAAAGTAGTTCTTCAGTTAGGCTTAACAGGAAAGCAATCATCTATGCACTTACTGATCACAGAATCACAGAATGTTAGAGGTTGGAAGGGACCTCAAAAGATCATCTAGTCCAACCCTCCTGCCAGAGCAGGATCACCTACAGTAGGTCACACAGGAGCTCTTAATTGTTGTGGAATAACATCAGAAAAAAAATGAAGCAGCTTAAAGTGACTGAAAACGGAGAAATGTGAAGCTTCAGTCAGGACTCCCCATTCACACTCCTTTTACTTCACAAGAAGTTATACACTGCATTGGAAAATGCATTTTTTTTCACATTTTAAAGTGAATTTTGGCTTTAACATATTTGGCTTGAATCTTATACAATGTTTTGTATACTATGTAAAATAATAAATTTGATATTATTTTAATAGCAAAAAGTATGCATTTTCATTATCTCTCAGTCTTTCTAATACTATAGTTTAGTGACACAGTTTTAAAAATAGTCTTCCTTATAAGTTTTCTTTAATGCTGTAAATGTTAGATTCTTTCTTTATTGTTAGGACTTTGCTCATGTCAGGTTTATGTTGAAAACGGACTCCTTTATTGAAGATTTAGAGCTCATTTAAAGCTCTTGAGATAGAATAACATGCAGGTGTCAGTCCTCCAAATTTCACTGAAGATTAACCTAATATGCAATATGGTGACCTAACAGTTCTTCATTTGAAAGAAATCTGAAAAGTAATCTCTGATATAGCTGGAGAGTGAGAATAACCCAGTGGGATTTCCACCTCTTCATTTCCTAATGAGTTTTTTGATAATGAGAGGTGACTTTGCCAGTCACTGTGGGCTCTATTATGGATAATTTACTCCACTTCACTCTCCTTGTTAATTATTAACACTAGCCTTTTTATCCTCATGAGACCACATTCCAGTTTTTCCCTTTTTAGATTTTTTTTTTCTAAATTAAAGTGATCATTTTCAGGAAAAGGTTTTCACTTAGGGTAAGCTACAATTATTTATTTCATTTTAGAAGACTATAAAATTGATTACATAAACATGGGGGACTCTTTCTAATGGATTTAATGCACTTGCAGGGTGAAAAGGCTGTTAATTAAAGAATAAGCGCTGAGGTATGTTCCATTTGGGAACCAGTTCTTGGTGGAACGGTCACTTGCCACTTGCTAACATATCCACCGATTAAAAGGTGACTAATTTCCATGGTTGCTTTCCAATATTTCTGAAAAAAAAAAAAAGTATAATTTTCCAGATGGCTTTCACTTGCCAGAAACTGTCATTTACTATATCTATTACCATTAGGGAATTACTGAAATTGGTAAACAGGTGTGACATTTCATACAGCAGTTGTTTCCTATCCTTCAGTTAAGGTTTAACAATCTCTCTAATAATTGCTTTGACATGAAAGTTTTCATAAAATGTCTTTCCTAAGGCTGTTTTAATCATTTAGCATCACAATCCATTTAATCTTTGCATATGAGGACAACCCTTGTTTGTTTCTATCACTTCTCTCAGGGACCAAAGTGCAAGGGAACACAAATGCCACAATAATGTAGTTAAAACTGGTGCCATAAATCCTTGTAAGACTGCTCTAGGATACCTCCACAGCTTTCAGGAGCCAGATAATTGCTTTAAGGGCACATAACGTCACAACTAGGGTTGTGCTTCCTAGAGAGAAAATGTAAGATGGTAGGAAAGACACCTGAATATAGGCTTCAGATTTTTAAGCTGGATTTTAGACGACCAGACACTCACTTAAAGTAATGCAGAATCCACCTTGCAGAAGTCTAACTCTTAGGAAATCTGCACCAAGATGGAATAATTCCTGGACCCTTCAGCTCAGCCTTCTAAATTGAGCTTAAGTTACCACCAGCATTGCAATTTTCATAGGAAATCATTAGGACTATGGCATTTAATGGGTTGCTAAATGTCAGGGTATGGAAACAGAATTCATGAAATGAGACCTCTAAGACTGGATGTTAAGGTTTTTTTCCTTTATCCTAGATCACATCCAGCATGGTGCAGTAACAGTGACTTTCAACAGTCAGTTTAGGATACAGGTCTAGTTTAGTGGCCCTGTCCATCCACCCCTTTCCCTCCATGAATTTCGTCATCCATTGTGTTAGAGTGAACTGTACATTTGCTAGTTGCTCCATTTCACAATACAGGGCTGTGGCCATCAGGTACTGTACTGAGAGCACCTTTGTATTTCAATAAATACTTGGCAGCTAAGGTTAACAATAATACAATGATAAATAATATAGGGTGCAATACGTGTAGCCTTGGAGAAAAGCTCTTGAATACTATTTTTCATTCTTTCAGTCACGCGGTTTCCATACACAGAGCTAAAATTCTTAAAAGCTATGGAACTTCCACAAAAATGAAATTAAATTTCCAGAAAGAGTTAAAAGTGATTTCTTGTATTTATAATAAAGCAGTGCATTTTGTAGAGTAACTCGAATAATTCAATAAAAATAGCATTTGAATCTCCTAAATAATAAAAAATAGGCAGTTTTCTCATTTTTTAAAAAATAGAATATAAGTAAATATATAAAATATGGCACAAATATGTTTTTTCTTTATGATGCCTTAAAAATGTTAGCCACAATTCAGTGCTTTAAAATTAACGTCTAATCAATTTTCTTTGGTTTCACTTGTTAGTTCCTTAAATTACATTACTAAAATCCCTTTTAGACAAAATATGCCTCAGACTATTATAAAAAGAATTAAAATCTCTTTTCAAGGATAAGTAAAAGCACGATAATACAGCTATCTCAAATTTTGTTCTCCAGCTCAAACAATGATGCAATACACCAAGTGAAAATAACACTCTCACTGGTTCTGAGTATCTTAATCCATTCATGCTAAGCCTACAACACCTTTATACATATAACTAGTCTGAAACTAGTTTACATGAAACATTAACTACAGTTTTATTTAAGCGGTATAGATTAAATATGACATATCAAATACTTATTATGCTGCTTGTACATAATTGATTTAAAACTGAGCAATCTGAATACTGAAGGGTTAAGTGATGGCCAGAATAAGGACTGACGTGGTGCAAAGACAGAAAGAAATTTCTCAGCTTCCAAGAAATGGAGCCCCAGCATATACACCATAAAGACAGGCATTGTCACTATTATCTTGAGAATTATATTATTTAGAAACACATTTCTAAGGTGTGGGCACATAGAAAATAAGTAAAAATCTTAAGGTCTTACTGTCATTTCTGAGGGCATTATTCAGCAGCTGGAAAAGTGGGAAGCTGTCCCAGGAGTCCTGCGGCTGTGCCTCGAGTGCTGAATCCATATCAACGGAGTACAGAGACAAAAACTTCTCTGCATGCTCTGCTAATAATTCCGGCCACCAAGCAAACGCCTGCAAACACGACAAAATAGAATTACTAAAGGTGAGTCACAAAGGAAAGAGATGTGTTGTATCTATGGCAAAACACATTTTGGATATGTCACTTCATGCCTTATCTCACTCGAGGAGGACGAGCAGGCCAAGTGAAAAATGTGAAAATATTTTATAAAAACTTGCAACAAAAATGTAAGAAATCAAATGGATTATGCTGGCAAAGATGATATAAGCAGAACAAACATTTAACACATAAAATCAGAAAAGGAGTATAAATCCCTGCAACTCTTTTTGGCAGAGAGCAAAGACATGAATGAAGGCCTCACCCTTGAAAAAACTGCTGCATATCCTTCTCTCAATTTCATTCAAGTAATCAGATTAATTTATTTTTCAAATAAATTCTTGTGAATATATTTTGCACTTTTTTGTTAACCAGAAGGGATGAGTTTAGTGTGAAATTTTATCCCATGAATGTCAAGGTCTTTTTCTAATAGATATACAGCAATTTTTAATTCCTACTTTTGCCTTAAAAATTTTGGCTTCTTCTGGGAAAGGACAGTCTTTCTTCCACAAATATTGCAAATATATCTTTAGAAATTCACTAATGTCTATATCCCTAGGTGATCCTGCTCTGGCAGGGGGGGTTGGACTAGATGATCTTTTGAGGTCCCTCCCAACCCCTAACATTCTATGATTCTATAATTCTATGATTCTATGACTCCATGATTGTAGATTCATTTTCAATAACTTAACAACACGCTGCAATACACTGTTTTCTTTGGTAAAAATTTAGATTCATAGGTAATCCCAACTTAAAAGAGAAGAAATCTGCAAAAAATAGTGTGTCAGCAAGCAAAGCCAGCTCCACGTCAAAGACTGCTTCTCATATAACTCTTATACCTTTTTACTGTCACTTAAAATGCAGGGTCTGAAAGGCCAGTACTGAAGCTGAGTATTCGATTAGAGGGAGGTATACAATCCTGGAGTTAAAGACGAAGTGAGCTTAAGAAACAGGAGAGAGTGTTCTGCTCGGAGTTCATGAACATTTCAGACAGTGAGAAAAACCTACCCATACTAAATAAGAAAAAGTTCCCACTTTCAAACTCCTCATTTTGAATATCTTACTTTGAATATTTTTGACTTACCAACATGTATAAATCAAGTTATGTCTCTCCCAAGTGCTGAGTTCCCACACCCTCAAATAAAGTCACAGAAATCATCACTAACATTTCTGAAACACAGGTCCTAGGTAATGGAGAATGATGTACTCAGGCCTGAGAGGCTTCAAATAAAAGACAACTTCTGAGAAGTCATCTACAAACATGTTTTGACTCCTGGACTTTCTGATGACTGCTTGTAATTCTTTCTCACATGGGGCAGATAGAGAAAAGATGAACTGGCAAGAGGTTTTAAAAAAATGCTGAGTGTCCTCGGCTATTACTGAAAAGTACTTTGTGCGTTGCACTGTCAGGACTGAAGGATGCTGACGGGCACCTGAAAAGGACAGATTAGGCTTCAAAAATTTTGGCAAGTGCTTCAAATGGAGTATTCTTAAACTGGAAGAAGTTCCTCATTAGTAAATCATGTTTAAATGTGTGATCATTAAAGGTACAGACTCCTTGCCCTAGTAAAATAACTAAATACAAAGAAATATAAAAAAAGAGGAAAGGAAATGTATATAAGCATTGGCAAGTGTCCCTTCTAGGAATGCAAAACTACTTTCAGAAAATATTGCTAAGCTAGTTGTTAAATAGTTACGGATAATATAAAAACAGGCTAAAGGCAATTAGCAATTGGTGGCACACATTCTAGGAGAACAAAAACACTGAGTGGATTAAAGGAATACTGAAGTTCTTAGATTATAGAAAGACACAAAAATGTGGCAATACAACACCAGAAATGATCAGAACAATTTATGCTACACATTCAATGCACAGTTCCATGATATAAACAGTGAAAAATAATGCTTAGTTCATCAGGGCTCACATACCTCTCTTCCCTTTTGGAATCCCAGAAATTTGGAAGTGTTACGAATTAAAAAAAAAATAAAAAAATCTAGTATTAAAAAATGCGATATACTGTTTCGGAGATTACTGATCCTTTCTGTCAACTGTATTATCAAAGACTGAACATTTACTTAGCATTATCATGTGAAGTCACCACACTTAATCTTCAGTTCTGAGTAGGAAATGTATAATTTTGTGATCTTGTTCTCAGATATATTTTAATATTGAAATTCTGCATGCTCTATAGCTTTCAGTAGAATTAAACATTTTGATACATGAACGAAAGGAGGGGGAAATAATCTTATCTTTATTCTTTCAAGCTGTCTTAGATTAGGTAGAAAACTTTAGCTTAATTGTTTTTCCGAAGGCACATGCAGCACATTCACCCTTCTGAAAAATACCACGTCTGACTGCAAATAAGTGGTATGGAAAGTAATCTTTGAACAGAGATGTTTAATCATAAATGTATCATCTGATCTGATTCTTCTGCGTTAATTTCCACAGAAGTCTAATAATCTCCCAGTAATGCAGGTCCTTAAAAGACAAAGACAACAACATTTACGTTTTATTAAGCGACCATTATAGAGTAACACAGTGGCAACAGTAGTGCGGAACAGGACCTCCAGGGAATTAATTTCAAATCATCGAAACAGCTGTTTCTTCAGTATAAGATAAAACATCCATAACAAGTTCACACATGACAGATGTAAGCTAAAAACTAGATTCTATAGTGTGATATAAAACCAGATGTTTTGAATGATCATATTTCTCACTATATATACTAAATCATGTTTATCTCTTTGCATATTTTCCCCAAAAATATTTAATGAGGTTTTTTTGACAACATTTTAAAAACAATTTCCTAAACCTTAGAAAACCGTATTTATTAATTGTTAACAATATAGACATTTGCGTGTACCGGACCAAGTCTATTTTTGTAATTCCTTGATATAAAAGGTGCTATAATTCTAAGTAGTGTAAATGTGATGGTTTCTGTTCCATGAAGTGAAAGATTTGAGAGTAAGAAACGTGAAATTTTTCTATTTTATTTCTTCTACCTTATAATGACATTTTTAAAAGCACAAGTTTAACAGCAGTACTTTTCCAAAGAATAGAAAAGCAACATGAATGTGATTACTATACCCATGATCAGTTTTTTGCTAAAATTAAGATCTATACAGCATGATGAAAACTAGCATTCAGTTACATTTTCTTTCTATTTTGAACAAAAGGTGAAAAGTTGGAACAACTGTATAAGGCTACGAATGTTTTCCGTACCATTTCACCACCTCCAGCACAAAGATGCTTTCTCTATTTTATGCTCTTTAATTTTCATTTCTAAACCTACAGTTCATTCAAGCGAATTGAAGTAGAGTTTTATTTCACTTCACTTTTCATAAGCTTCAAGTCTCTTATTCCTCTGTAAATGTGAACTGCCTTAAACATATGTCAGAAAGTAAAGCTAAAATGTTTCTTGACAGAATTGCTTCGCATCAGGGGAGAAAAAAATAGGAATAAACCATTCTCTACTGGAAATGCAGCCACAGTCTCACCTCTGAATGATGTTCTTCATTTTGCTGCAATACTTCGATACAGAGTTCTGCAAGGTGAAGAACCTCTTCCAGTTTTTTAGCAGGTGTTGCTTGGTTCATGGTCTCTGAATGAATATAAAATGCAAATCAAAATTGCTTCAGTTACAAATAAGTAAGTTTCAACAGTAAGAGAAAACGATGTCAGAAAGGAATGGGAATGGTGCAAAGTTACAATTTATGTGAAGTTTAAGCAATTTCATGTGTAAAGGACAATGATTTAATACAAGTCAATGCAGCTGAATGTCCAGATCACTGGAAGAGAAGCACATTTAATTCACAAAAGAATAATTGTTCATGATAAACATTATCTGATTTAACATGCGAGAACTAACAGGTGTATCAATGTATTAGATGCTCAACTTCTGCAACAAGCAAGTCCTAATTCTCTTCAAGGTCAGAAACACAAAGACAGCACAGTACAGATCTGTTTCGTTACTGCACCATCAGTACAATGCCATTCTCATTAGATGACTCATTACTGTCATTGGCAAGATTCATGCATTTTGCAGCACTCAAAAATTCCAAATGCTTCATCTAAATGAGGCACTACATTTTAAGTGTATTAAAAAATATGAAAAGTACAAAACAATAATTGTATATAAAAAAATTCTACCTGCTGTTCAACACTAAGAGTGAATCTGCATTCTTCTCAGTACCATAATGAAAAGTAGCACTACAAAATAAAGAAGCTACAGCAGAATTGACACAAGCCTTCTAAAAACTCCACATAAAAGAAAAGAAGGACAAATGAAAAAGTTACAAATGACAAGAAGACTACTCATTCTACAGAGTAGACCTCAAAAAGAAAGCAAACAACAAAAGCAAAACAAATGTAAGTAAAATTCTTACAGGGAAATTAAACTCAGTTTAGTTTCCAATTAAAAAAAAATATCATAGGACTAGATCCCAGGAAGACTCATGGGAGATGAAGGAAGAGATCAACTGAAATTTTTTGCAATCATAGTTTAATAGTGGGAATAATTGGTCCAACTGAATAATTTCTATCACTAGGTATAACTTCAGTATTCGCTATCTGTGCTTGTTTACTTAACAAAGCTCTGGTCCCTAAGCGTAAACCATGGGATGGAAATGACATTGTAACACTACAGTCATGTATAAAATATGGTCACATTAACCAGATTTGCAGAGGCCTTATGAAGGTGATAACACAAGATGAGTCAGAGTCTCAGAAGTCCTATTGTCTCATTTTCTGTGCATGTTTATGGACCACATGAACAGGAAACCATATGAATACACAGCTTCATATGCAGAAAATTCTGCTGACATTTCCACTTCATGGATTCACCATGACATTAGAACATTAGAACATTAGAATGTTAGAACATTAGAACATCAGATTAAATAAAAACTCACAAAATCTTGGTGTCAGTAAGAATATCAAACTCCATGCACTAAATTTTTAACACATATCATTTCTGGCAAGTCAAAACAACTTTTCAGTCATTTTAAAAGTAGGTGACCTTGCCAAGTTCTTCAGCACTAACACACTGATGCATAGTACCTTGATGAAATATACAGCTTTAATGCCAGCAAATATCTACTTAAAGGTGACTACAAAACCATATCATTTTCATGCAAAAAACAAAGCAGGCAAATTAGTTGCTGAAGCAACTATAGTTTTTTTTTTCCAAAATCTTATTAAAAGAGACCACATAAGCAGACATACTGAAATAATATGATTTCCAAAACCAATATCTAACTCAAGAAAGAGTTATTGTATGAACATGGACGAAGCACAAAACACATCAGGACACAAAACGACATTCACAATTTCAAGACCACAGTTGTTAATACTGTTACATGAATACAACCACAATGATATTAATGTCCAGTGAGATTAGGAAGGATTGGCCTAGACCCTATTATTTAGGTTACAGTCTAGAGACTAGTATTGGATTCAGGTTAAACACTGGTTTCTGTGCTTATCCTGGACAGAAACTGCTGTTTCCTTTAGTAGTTTGTTAGTGTCCTCCCTGACCTGAACACACAGCAAGTACTATTTGTACAGCTGACACATCACTATCAATATAACTGATGTTAATGAGTCTTGGGAAGAAACCAGTGATATTAACACAGAGTATGACTGACACATCTGATTTCAACATAAACAATTTGGTTTATTACAAATTTAGCCTGGTCTTCATGGACCTCACCACTAACCAAATAAACAAAATAATCGAATCCAAAACTGCATTCATTCCTAATGAAACTAAATGAGTTGTAAACTATTCAAACTATCCTAGAAGGGCTCTTCTAAATCAGTAAGAAAGTCATTCTAACAATGACATTGTTTCTGATGTTGGATTTTTGCATTGGACTAAGTTAATTTATTCCACACATGGAATAAGCTTAAGATAGGCTAAAAATGGCCTAGTAGGGAGAGTAAGAGAAAGAAGGAGCAGATTTACTTGCTACCTGAGATTACCCTGAACCATCACTGTGATGAGATCATGAAGAAGAGTAACCTGGTCTCAGGGATGTATTAATTCCATTGAGCAAGGCACTGAGGAAAGGCAGCTCTGGTCACCTGTGTTGAAGTGACGGATTTTGATCAGAAATGGGACTGAAAGGATAAGAAATCTGAATTTCAATCAGAAAGGCATAATAAGCCTAATAAAATGAAAGGCATAATAAGCCTAATAAAATGAAAGATGAAAGAGAGGATCAGAATTGTTCCCACAGAGGCAATGTGGGAATACAGTTCTCCCACAGTGGGAACACTTGGGAAGGAGAAGACTGACTTATGATCATGGATGATGCTGGCATAAAAATAAAACAGTCATGATAAACTACTTAAACCAGAAATTGCAAGGATTTCAGTCTTTATGGGACTAATGTTCAGGAGTAGTTTTTTCAATAGGATTAGTGTGTTTAGGAAGAGAAAGAAGATGAAAACTGTAAATTTCTGAATGATATTTCGTGGCAGGAATGACTAAAAATGTGGGATGGATTATGTTCAAGAATTCTGGTTTAAAGTTTGCATTAAATTCCCCATGCTATTTACTAGTTTACTCCAAATCTATTTATCACTTCCTGAAAACATGCAAATTACTCTTTATGCTTCATACAGCTTTCAACAATACTGTAAAAATTATTTTCCTCCAAGACTTATTGATAAGAAAACATGGCAAAGAATTGCGCTCACTCTACATCCTTGTACTAATCTCTCCAATTTTGTTGTCTTTTCGTTATTCACAGCGTAAATCAATACATGCAATTTCATTTGGATGGTATATGCTTCCCTACATTTTGCTTAGGTTTCGTCTAAAGCTTACTTTTGCATCTGTAAATTACCACACGGCTCATCTGTCTTCTCTGTTGCTAAGGTCCTTTCACTTCCCAAAATCTAGTGAATACAAAAGGCTAGGAAGAAATTTGAGATAAACAGAACTAATTTTTTTTTTAACCAAACAAGAAGTACATTTGAAATATGAGTCACAATAAACTGTTATCTGGAAGTCTTAGAACCTCTAAAACATCTGGGCAAAGTACTGTGCTTGTCTTTATAAGCGTAAAAAAAATACAGGAATGGAAATCAGTGCTGTCAGTTTTCATTATATTCATGATGTCTTTCTCCTCACAATTATGAAGGGTTGTTAAAATCTGTTTACACTGCTCAAACTAACAAGTTGCAGCAGGAGTCGAGTCAGTAAATATGCTGCTTGACATCTTTTAGAAAACAAACAGAAAAAGCCATCAATCATCTGTTTTCAGCTTCACATTCTGCCGAAATGAAAAAGCAAGCCAGGCTTTGCAAATAATGGATGCTTTCTCAAGTATGCATTGTCAGTGAGTCACACAGGTACCAAGGAAATATTGTTAAATGAGCTAAGTTAACTGACTAAAATGCTACTGAAATGAAAAGGTGACTGCTTCATGGACCGACGGAGCCTAGGGCCACAAAGAAACTGTCAGACCATCCAGTCTGACCTCCTGTGTCACACAGGTCAGAGAACTTCTCCCCGTTCCTCCTCTCTTGAGCCCATTAGGATGTCTAAAACCTAACAACAGTACTTTGAAAACCTATCTTTAACTTGTTTTCCAGAGAAGAGTTTATCCTTGAAGACAAACGTACAATTCACTTCTTCCTTCCGCGCCCCCCAGCATGTAGGCTGCTAAATATGTGTTTAACTTCACGTTGGCATTGGTTTGGTACAGCAGAGGTGATTCTCCTCCTCGAGTCCGAGCTCAGGGCAGCTGGGTGGCCTGCCAGTCTCCTCCGCCATGGCACACCATATACCCCTTATTGGTTTTCCCTGTCCAGTATTTCATCTTTCCACCTCTTCCTCGAACAACTATATCCAGACCAAGACACATGGGAGAGTCTCCAGGCCAGAGGGTTTCCCACAGACCAGTGGCAGGGATACAGGGAAAAAAGGCAAGTATGCCAAGAGACCCTGAGTTCACAGCCCAGGTGGGCTTGCGGGTACCTTCACATGCAGAGAGCGAGCTGGGGCTGGAGACTTCTGTGGTGAAGTGGCATCTTAGGATTAGATCCAGCTCATTTAATGCCAGACTGCAACAGAACATCCAGTCTGCATTTCAGTCCTTCATGTAAGACAACTGGCATTTGCTTTAATTTTCATCGGCACTGTTGCTCTGGTTGCTGGCAGCACTCAGCTGTTGTGCTACTTAACGTTAATGTTACGAGCATTAAAGCCTGGAGAAAGTGCAAGATGTCTACTACCGGAGGTTTCTGACCATCAACTATCTCATTTCCATGCATGTGCCAGAATTAAGACTCACAGGAGGGCAAATAACATGATGGCTGTCAAACTCCTTCCAAGATGTGCTGCACACACAGCAGTGAGCAAGCTCTGGAGTTTCTGAAGGAATATTGCCTGTTTGGATATGGTGCAGAGGGACCTAAATCTTACATACTTCTTCCCAATTCCAACTGTAGTACATGGAGCTTAAATAAGCTACCTTTTATTCTAGAGCAGCTCTTTTGCCAAAGAATTTGATTGATTTGTTCCAAATAGAAGCTTGAGGATGGACTCACATTGATGCAGAGGGGATGACAGGGAAACCCAGCAATACTGCA